GTAGTATATCCTTCTAGTGAGAGTGCGCAGAGGGTGTGACCCGGCATGTACTCCTAGACTACTCTTCGTGTATTGCTAGAGGCAATATGCCATGTGATGTTTTACTGGCGCCACATGCATGATAACATGTAGTCCGTGTCCATACACGTGCATTTTCAATGTTATATAATTAATTGATATTTTTATGTCTTGGATGAGTGAGATGTAATATTGTTATTAATAAATCTGTTATATCTATCTTGTTTGTGTTTGGCTATTCGGTGTGTATTTCTACACTGTGAGCTAGAGTGAGATGTTTCTCACTCCCTTTTCTTTTTGTTGTTCTCCTTTGACTGTTGTACAGGTGATTATCAGCGTGAGGCTGGAAATGTAGGTGATGAAGCTTAGGCTTCAGTGTTTGGCTTTGCTCTGATAGGACATGTGACATCGGGGTGTAGATAGGATTAGATTAGGATGTTCACTTATTAAATTATTTTTGGAGACTTTACTTTTATTTTTTTTTTAATTATAAAATGTTTTATTATTCAAATTTTATTATTATGTGTTATGATATGCGGGGTAGAGGGTGTCACACTTAGTATTTTCTTATCCTCTCCAGGCCGTAGTATTTTCGTAGCCTCTCCAGGCCGTCTTTTTGACTTACTCAAAAAGTTAAATTGATCATATTAGATTCCCTTACATCCAAGCTATGAAATTAAATAAATTTTTGAATTCAAAAGAATCATAAAACATAATGAAAATTATATTAAGAAAAATATCTCACAAACAATAAAAATACAGTATAATTTTTTTAAAATAATTTTTTAAGTTGATTTTTGATATGATTTTTATACAACTTTCTCTATATTTATTTATGACATCTTATTGTTTGAAATTTAGCTCTGTTCAATAATTTTTTATGCAGATAAATTTAATAAGATAATTTTCAAGTCTTAAATCAATAAAAGAATTTAAAATCACATTTCAACGTGGAAAATAATAAATACTTAAGAAGAATTACAAAGACCCAAATTAATCAAATAAAAGACCAAAGTATACATTTTAAAATATAAAGAACCAAAGTTTATCTTAAAAATAAAATAAAGGAGTAAAAGTATAATTTATTCTAATGAAAATATATGTGTGTGAGTAGGGATCAAATTACTCCAAAAGTAACTTTTGATAAAGTTACTTCACGAAATAACTCATGGTGTATGTTGAATTTCAACAATCCAACAATTAAATTAAAAAAAATTTAATATATAAATCATGTTTATAAATTTTTTAAAAATTTGAAATCATATAATACTTCGTTATATAAGCTCAAATCGATGAATAAAATGATTTTATAATTATTTTTTAATTTGAATAAGAAAACGAAGTATCAAATAATTTTTATTTTAAAAAAATATTAAATTTCAATGATATAACTATTAAATTAAAAATTCTTATATATCTATATATATATATATATATATATGGGGGTTAGTATATGTTGATAACAAGTGTCAAAGTTGTTCAAGCTTCTAAACGTTTCTAAGGCCGTGGATTTTCCCCAAGGCTAAGGATTGGTGGATCTTCAAGCCAAAGAAAGATTTTGGAGCCATGATTCTTGAGAATCAAAGCCGAGGGAGTTTCTTCAACCTAGGGAGCTCATTTAAGGCAAAGGAAGCTTGATTGTAGCTTATATAGACTGTATAAGTGTAGAAGTGGTTGTAGCACCATGCTAGTGCGACACATTCTCGCTTAGCAAGTTGATTCTTGTTGGGTGAGCCTTCATAGGTTAAAGGCTAGAACCCAAATATTAAATTTTTCCTTAATGAACTAAATCTCACTCAACAATCTGGGCTTACTATTGGAAGCTTGCTTGACAAGCCATAGCTTGTCCAATGAGAATGGCCACTAAAGGTGATGAGTGTTAAGCAAGAGGTACTCACTCAACAAGAAGTGAACCACAAAATGTGGTGGCCATTGAGTAAAACGGGCTTGCACAATGAGGAGCCACAAAGGGTTAAGGGTGCTTAATGAGTTTGTTTTTGCTTAGCATGGAGCTATAAAGAGTTGAAGTCACTTAAAAAAATAATGTTTTAACTAGAAGGATTCCTAATGTTGTATGAGGTGTTCTTATATCCTAAGTGAGCTAGAAAGTCATGTATGAACCATAGATGGTGTATATAATATTTATGATGTATTGATTAGTGGTACCAAATTAATTTATATGAATGAGGAGCAATCCTCACCTTACAAGCCATTTTTTAAGGTTGAGTTGGTTTCAATGTAAGGAGATGTGGGTTATATGTCATTGATGATGGTGATGATTGTTAAATCAAAATCTTATTTTAAGACTATAAACAATCCCTTAAGTTTTAATGATAACAAACAAAAAAGATACTCTGTAAGCAAATGAAAGTATTCTTCAAAGATAAAATAGATTAGATGAAATATGAAGATAACACATATCATCTGTAAGATGACAAAAATTAGACAAAGCATATAGTCCGTCTGACTGACATTATATGAAAATTGTTATATATGACTGACATTGCATTTCATTTAATACGATATTCCTCAATAGACTAAGAAAAAATGAGCTTCGGAAGTCTTGAAGAACATTCATGAGGAAAAGGACAAAATAACTGTGAAAAGCCAAAAAGCAAGATCCCAGATAACACAGAAAAAAGACTGAAAAGGGTTGCTTTGCACCAACCCCAACTACTTTATGCTGACACTCTCTACTACAATCAAAAGTCGAAGGAAATGATGATAAGTGGTGGGCTAGATAAGAGGTACATGCATCCTAATAAGCATTTAATGCTCACATTAAATGCATCAACAATACTCTTTAAGATCAGATAGGAAGATAGATAAAGCAACACATGAAGAAATATGAACGTTGTTGCAACGATCATTTTCTCTAAAGCTACTATATAAGGATCAAGCCTTCAAACTACAAAAAAAAAGGGTGATAGACAAGATAGTATATACATTTACGAATAAAAATGATGTACATAAAATAACAACATTCATTGAGCAATTCATCTTGATCAAATATGCTGAGAACAAGCTAAACCACTACAAAGAAAATCTTATTTGCAAATCTTGTATCTAGTTCTTTGTAGTCTTTTTGTGCTATATTTTCATAGCAATCAAGTCTAAAAAAGATAAAGCTATATTTGTAACTCTTATCAAAATTATTTGTAAGGGTTAAGCTTGGAGAGGCTTGTGTAAAGAATACTTAGTGTTTGAGCTTGGAAAGGCTTGTGCAAAAGAATACTTAGTGGTTTCAGCCTAAAAAGGCTTATTGAAAGAATACTTATGTTTAAGCCTGGAGAGGCTTGTTTAAAGAATACTTGGTTTGAGATAGAAGTGGCTTGTGAAAGA